TTTGCCAACCTAACCATTAAACACGGAGCAACCAGTCCTGACTAAGCTCTCTAAAACTCTTTGGGTTTTCTGCATCATTTGATTTGGTCCAGACCAAAAAAAATCCCTTTAGCTGCTCATTTCCACAACAGAAGTGATTTGTTGGATTAGAGAACACTTGATATTGCTCCGATTTCAGTTTCTTTCCCATCAAGTGTCCTCTGTTTCCTTATCAAGATGATTTTTGTGGCTGAAGGTCTTGGAGATGAAAATCAGGAGCCTGTTCCAGGAATACCAGAGCCCGGAGTGGAGCCCCGTGTTTGGGAAACGCCGCGGCTCAACGCATTCCACATGGACGTGGTAATGCTCCGGTGGTGCCGCGGCGCAGGGGCAGTCAGCTCTTGTTCGAGCCCTTTCAGAGCAAAGTGATGCACCGAAGGGCGTATTCGAACGAAGGTGTGCTTGTAATTAGGGTCAGAGCAGTTAAATCTGACAGTCAGCTGGTTTATGCCAGCAGTGCTTTTAAAAGGAAGAGCATGTAGGCATTGGGTTTCATGTCTTTTTATTGTTTATTTAGCATGAATTTAATCCATATCTTTTTTTTTTTTTTAAACTTCACTTTCTTTGTGTGCTTCTATGCGATTTGATAAGATACGAAGAGCTTGTAAGTGTTCTTACAGCCGTGCAAGGTTTATATTAATGGAGCCCTTACATGATTTTGATACAGATATGTTATGTACACGTTTGCAGTTCCTGAGTATAGCTCAGAAAAGACATCCTCCCGCAAAAAAAAAGACAAAAAGAGAGAAAGAAAAGAAAGAGAGAGAAAGAGAGAGAAAGAAAAGAAAGAGAGAGAAAGAGAGAAAGCAAGAAAGGAGAGAGAGAGAGAATGAGAAAGAGAGAGGAAGAGAGAAAGAAAAACCTATTTTGCTCCTGGGGAAAAGTGAGAAATGGAGGGCGAAGATCTGTGTTTACTGGGGGACGTTTGCACTGCTCACTCAGCTGCAGAACTGTTGGCACAACTGTAACTGTCAGCGTTAAAGCAGCATTCAGGCTGTGTCTGTGCAGCACAATGCTGTGCAGATGGGGACCCCGCGTGCCACCGGGCACCCCTGGGCCAGGCCAGCTCTGGTAGCCCCTTGCTTGCCATGGGGGATTTCACTCCCCCTTCCCTCTAGCCAGGTGTTCCCAACCCGCACCCAGCCGGCAGCTCGGGAACGACAGGCTCCAGCTCTTTGCTTTTGCTCCTCGGGAGCCGAGGCGAGCCCCAGACCAGTCCTGCTCATCCAGCCCACGATGCTCCGGCACGGGCTCCATCCCCTGGCTTGAGCCTGTGGCTCCGGGCTGTCTCACTGCTGGTTTGGATTTGAGCAATCCCAAGACTCTTCCATCGATGGCACTCACACAGAGCCCACGATAAACGTGCTGTTTTCACAAGTTCCGCGGCAGTTCCGCTCGCCTCTGCTTCCTGCGAGCCTGGCTCCTACCTGATGTAAACGAGCGACGCTTCATCCACCTCCTGTCCCAGGGACAGCTTTACACCAACGAGCTGTTGGCCCCACAAGCACAGCTGGTAACGGATTTCCTCCCTTTGCAGACATGTGCCATCCAAATCTGAGTCACCCCAAGAGCTGGCTCCACGTGGTGCTCCTCCAGTGATTCCATTTCAAAGTGGTCCAAGACACGTCTGCTCCAGCCCTGCGCTGTGGGACGGTGAGCACGGGGTCCTGCAAACTCCGCAGCCCTGCACCTTTCCTTCTGTTTTACTTCAGGGGTTTCCCTCTCTGGAGTCTGGCTGGAAAGAAAACTGGAACCAAAGGGCTTCCAGTGAACTTTTTAAATTGATTTTTACCAAGCGGGTCCCTTCTCCCATCGTCACCCCTGTCCTCCAAGGAGGGTGCCCCAGCGAGGGCTCCCCGGGACCCCCTGCAGAAAGGAGGTGCGGAGCGAGATCTCCAGCCCACCCCGTCCTTCCTGGCTCTTGCACGCGGGGCAGATCGGGTGCAAGCTGGTACCGGTCACAGTTTGGGTGATTCTGCTTCCCTGCAGCTTGTGCTGCTTCCGTGTGCTCTGACCCCCTGCCTGGAGCAGCACCGGGCTCCTGCCGTCAGCGAAATCCTGGCTGTGCACAGGAGTCGGAGAAAATCAGTGTAAACATTCCTGTAAATCCCACTCGAGGAAAGCACCGAGGTGTATCTCTCAGCCTGCACACGCACACACACCCCCACACACACGTATTTTTGCTTCCCTCAGTGCAGACCCAGACACACCAGTATTCCCTCGCACACACGTGCTCGCATCTTCTCTCCCACACACTTTCTCTTTCCCCAGCTCTCACCCACACACAGTTCGACTCATTTCCCCCCACCTTCTCTCTGTCTCTCACACACAAGGAAAACCCTCCTAATTATTTTTAAAAGGTATCAGCTCTACGCAGCACAGGATTTTGCACAAAAACGTTAACAGCGGAGCAAAGAGGCGGCCGAGCTGCCCTGGGAAGTCAAAGCCCACTACAATAAAAGCAGCTAATTAAAAATCCCCAGTGGAAAAGCAGCTCCACAGCCAGCGAGGACCAAGGAGAGCTTGCACAGGTATGGGAGCACCGTGGGAGTCGGAGCTCACCCTTTATTCAATTTTCCAGGTCAAACCCCCATACGTTGGGTGCTACATCTTCCATCCAAACACCAACTTCCAGAGGCAATGAAAAGGTGACCCTGTCGTTATGGCATTGACAGGAGAGATGCTTTGGGGTTCATTCCCAAAGCTTCCACTGGTTTCCTGCAGGACCACAGGGAAGGGGCTCCATCCCGGGCGCCTCGGTTGGCTGTTGGCATTATCAGCTCTTCAGGACAGGGGCTGGTTATTTCTGGGTCCCGCGCTGGGTAAACCCGCTTGGTGCTACCACAGTAGAAATAAGGGAGTGTTGCAGCACTGCTCAGCTGTTCCTATGGCCAACTGCTATCACAGCATCTCCAAGTCACTCAATTCCCGATTTTACAGTGAAAACAACACAAACTTTTTCAGAGTGAGTGAGCTTTATTTAGGAAATAAATAAAATTATAAGAAAATAAGAATGATTGTAATAAATACAGCACTTGTCAAAATTACACAGCTATGAAAAGCGTAATATTTTTAGGCATGTTACTCCAGTGTGGTTACAGGGTCTGGCACATTACTGGAAAAATAACTTTCTGTCCCTGAAAGAACATTATAAACATGGAATAAAGAAGACAAGAGAGGGAGAGAGAGAGAGACTGTGTGTGTGATGGCAAAGAATACAAACAAGCTTTGATAGATATGTGTTTATGGAGTGGGGTTTATTTCGAAATTTGATACTTCATCACAACTAATTATTTTAAAGCATACTGTCAAGACAGAAACGAGAGATTTGCAAAAGCTCTTCCTATGCCAGGAGTCAGGCTGGAGGTTGGTCACAGCACATGACACTTCACCAGCTCTGCTGGACGGCTGCGGTTTCCATGGTTTGCAAAAATATAAGTGGACAAACAGTTTCTCCTCTCCCTTCTCACGCAGTGGGCACAATATTGTCTGTCAGCTTTGTGTTTTCAATTGAGACACGGGAAATATTGCAGAGGAAGAAGGAATAAAATAATTGCATAAAAGCTTTTCGCTTATAAATACACACCTGCCTCTGTCTGCCAGGTCAGCCCTTGGCTCTACTCACTGCTGTCCCCCCCTGTCCCGCGGAACAGCCCGGAGTCCCGGACAAGCGAGCGGTACCGTGGCACACAGATGCTGGAAGTTCAGAAACTGCTGCACCAAAACCCAACTCAACTCCACTGATTCTGGCAAACAGCTGTTAAGCCAGGAATGATGAGGGGGGGGCTTGCTGCTTTTTAGGGATCAGGTGTAGCATTTTAACTTTGCATGCATCCAGACATTTCCAAGCTTGACTTGCTTATAAAAAAAAATTATTCATTCCTTATCTCTATTTTTTTAAAAAAAGACAAAAACATGCCTAGTAGTTACTTCTCTTTTAGCGTGTGAAAAGACCTATACATCAGAGCACATAAAAAGAATTAAGCAATAAAAAAAAACAATCAATATTTTCTAAAAAGTCACTTGCCTCAAAGGTTCAGGAAGTGACTGAAGACTTTGAACCAAAGCTACTGAGGGGTCTTTACCACTGCTTGGACTGGCAGCTCTGGACATCCCAGGGGTTAACAACCCTCAGAGCTCCACATCTGAAATGGGAAAGTCAAGTGATTTCTTTGAAAACACAAGGGGTAATTTCCCCAAGACACAGGGTAATCTGGTCAGCGATTGCTGATGCAACAGAACATCTCTTTACAGGGCACATAAATACAGGCTTAAAATAAATAGCAAGAAATAAATCATCCAGTATAAGGAATTCAAGCTACTAATGCCATCCACGACTCGCTGCTTTCAAGGTCATCAACAAGCACAGAGACACCGGGTCGGTGCCTCAGGGGAAGGAATCTGCCCTTGTCCCTGGTAGGGGAGCAGCCAAAATCCCACACCAGGGCTACGAGCCAGCGCGGTCCGATGGGTGCTCGCTCCGAAAGGGAGCTGCCACGCTGCCGGAGGGTGGGGAAAGCTCAGCTTCACCCCTTGCACCCCAGGAACCCGTGAGCCCCAGGGTGCTAGAGGGGAGCCCGGGACAGGTAGGCAGAACAACCTACACCTGGGCTGGGTGTGAGGAAGAACAGTGCCTCTTCCACAAGTGCATCTGCAGGGGAGTGACTGCAACCCATGTCTACACCAGGAGCATCAGCTGCTTCCATGAAACAATCACACCTCGTTTGCAGCAGCACGCTCCGTGGGGCGCTGGGCAAAGCACCCGGCGTGCTCAGCAGGAGCTCACTCGAGCAGGCAGATGTTCAGCTGATGTGAACTGAGGCAGTAAAGCACAGGCTGAGGCGCCCTGGATTTTGTGTGCACATGAAAACTAATGCAAGGTCTCAAGCTGGTGGGTTTTTTTCTTGTAAACTAATGAAATTCAGTGGGTGATTTACCAGGCACCCGTACTTCAGGATTTACTAATTTGTTTCTACAATGCACTTAAGGAAAAGCGTGTCTTCTTTCACGTAGGCATATTTAGGTGACTGTAGTTTGGCCAAAGGGAGGAACATGGGACAGCCACTTGCAACATTCATGTCACTCACTGGTCGCTGAAATGAAGCAGAAGTCAAGTCCGGACGAAACGCATCAATAACGTGTTCCCTGTTATTTTGGTCCAGTAACATAAACGTAACCTGAAAAACAGAACGCAGCCACGATGAGTTACTGAACTGGAAAACAAACCAGGAAATATCAGAGAAGTGCAAACACACTGCAAAAGCAGCTGGATGCTCTATCAGTAATTAAATACAAAATATAATTAATGTTTTGCAACCTGCAAGGTCAGTTAATGTGAACAAGGGAGATTGCAGCGGTTCCCAGATGACACATTTAAAACTTTGCCACCCGCAAAACAAAATTAAATACAGCAAAGCAAAGTAGGGAATTATTTCCTGGTAGAGAACTGCACAGTCCAAAGACTTTTTTCCTCTCTCATCTGACAACTTAACCAAAGCCCCAGTCTGGTTACAGTCATTACATTCATTCTGTTATTGTGGTTTGGAATCAAAAGAAACAGCTCGGTTGCCTGCACGCAAATATGTAGAAGACAAAACCTAAATATCTGTATAGAATCTCCCCATCTCGTTACCACTATTATTACCTCACTGTTCTTTAGCTTTAAATGTGAAATGTATGTAATTATTTTTTAACACAGTGAGGACTGGAGACTTTGATTTCTGTATTTTTTGGCTGCTAAATGGTAGTAAGGCTATTTATATGAAAGGCTTACAGAATTATTCCCACATGAAGGCACGTGCTGGAACAGAGACCAGAACCTTGCGCACACTTTCACTGCTCTTCTAACCATTGCTGCCGTTATCGGATCGCACTTAATGAGAAAAAACAAGATCAGGATCACATAAGACACCTATGGCATGTTTGTAAGTAGACTCTAACCTCACGTTTCTAACACCTGTAGAGATTTCAGGCAGAAAATCATAATTCCCTCATAAACTGAGAGTATCTATGTACAGCAAGAGCCAGGAAAAAACGTCTCTGGCTTTAGCTCAGGTGGACACAGGTTGGGATCAGTGTTCTGGAGTTTGACAATCCTACAAGGCACAGTATGGAATCTCTGTGAGAGCAGCTTTACCTGTGTGTAAACCATTCCATTCAGAGACAAATTATTACCCAAGGTTACAGTATGGCTGGTAGCCATTGGAGAGGAAGATGGGAAAGCACTCCAACTTCTGCT